CCAGGAAAGGCGCAAAGCTACGCAGAGAAACCCTGTCTCGGAAAAACCAAAAAAAAAAGTAGAAAATAGAATGGCAGGAAGCAATAGAGAGCTGTGAAGAGTCAGCAGAGGGAAGAGTGCGGGGTCCTAGGAAAGCTTTGCCGGGTGTGTAGAGGATCCTGCTGCCTTGCTCGAGGCAAGTGATCTGCTTTATAGCTGCGTCATCAGCCCAGGAAAGCTCTTAACATTATGGTCACCTTCCCTCACACAATTTAATTTTTAAAGGAGTTATTTATTTTTTAAATGTATAGGAGTGTTTCACCTGCATATGTGTGTATGCCTGATGCTCAAAGGAATCGGGAGAGGGTGTCAGGTTCTGTCTTAACTACTTCTCTATGGCTGTGCAGACACAGTCACCAAAGCAACTTAGAAAAGAGTTGATTGGTACAGACCGTTTCAAAGGGTGAGTCCACGATTGGTCGATCGTCATGGTTGGGAGCGTAGCAGTCTCTAGATTTGCTGGGGTAATGGAGAGACGATACCATATTTTTAATGTTGTTTTTCTCAGTGAAATAAGACCATAAGGATAATATTCTGTGCAAACACAGCACTCCTATTCTGGTAACCCAAAATCTGAGAGTCCAAAAGGGTCTGGAAATAATACAGCCTGACATACGAGGAACTGTACTTTGGTAATCAATTTTAGTCACTTCCTGAAGAAGCCTATGATGAATATTAACATAGGCTGAGTAACCCTTATTCAAATGCTTGGGAGAAGACGTGTTCCAGATTCAGACCTGGGTGTATGGATTTCGTGTGGATTGGTGTCTTCCCTGCATGTTTGGCTGCGCACCACATACATGTGTGCCTGGTACCCATGGGGGCCAGAGAGGGCGTTGTATCTCCTGGACCTGGAGTGCAGATGTGTAAGCCACCATGTGAGGGCTGGCAATGGAACTCGGGTCCTCTTCAGGAGCAGCAGATGTTCCTAGCTGCTGAGCCATCTCTCCAGCCCCTCCATGCCAATTTAAACAACGACCGATAAAATGGAGGGGGCTTTAGGTGGGGGCTGCAGACCCAAGGGAGACGAATGGAAGAGAAAGGTGGTTTTGGGAAGGGTTGTGGGGCCTCTGCCGCTGCTTGTCAGTTCACGACCAGAACTGCTGAAGGAAGGGCGTTATGGTGCTCCGTCTCTGCAGTGTCTGGGTTCGGGGTAGGGAAGCTCCAGGAAGGCCTCCCTGGCGTCTGTTGAGTCACACATGCTTCAGTGTCAAGTCACCTGTGAGCCAAGGCAGCCTGTTCAGGGCAGTGTGTTCTCTGTAGCCCACCTTTATGGAAGTAGCATGTCAGGAGCCACGTAGAAGTTCTCAGTTCTCAGCTAAACTTAGATGAACTCTTTCTAAAGCCTTTGTGTGCTTTGAAAAGCACTTTTTTCTTGCAGTATAGCAAGTCTGATCACATTCTCTATTTGTTCTATGGAAATTGATCTGTTTTAGCCAGGCATGGTGGTGCAGACCTCTAATCCTACTTACCAGGTCGAGGCAGGAGGATGAGAAGTTTGAGGCTGGCTGCAGCTACATGAAACTCTGTCTCAAAAGCCAAACCAGGCTGGGTGGTGGTGGTGCACGCCTTTAATCCCAGCACTCGGGAGGCAGAGCCAGGCAGATCTCTGTGAGTTCAAGGCCAGCCTGGGCTACCA